ATTTATCAACGAACCAAGAAGCGAGCCCGGAGAGCTTTTCGTTGACCAAGCTCAGTTTGTGTAGTGAACGGGGGTTCGACGACGTAGACGCCGGGTGATCGAGTGATCGTGTCCTTCGCTTTTGTATCGAGATCCGCCGAGTTGTAGTCGTATTCCACACGAGGGTCAAGGACCAACCATGGATGCACGCGCATGAGAGCCGCCTTGTGAGCAGTATCCAGCTGCCGCTCCTGTGCCTTTCCTAGGTGATTGGTAATGATATCACTTCCCCCAGAAGTCGAGAGTTCGGGGAACGGACACAGTGTCCACAAGGTTCGAGCAGGGCTCACATCGCGCCACTGGGGCGACTCGCCCTCTCCTTCTTTCATCCTGGGAAAGGAGTATCCGACTCGTAGTTGACTTCCATCAAATCTTCGACGAGGTAATTCATCGCCCGTGGCGGGCTCCGTGCGCTGTTCGAAGTTGCACCGCGTGCAAGAGACGAAGAAAAAGGGCTCTGCCCGCAAGCGTTATCAAAAATATCGGGGCTGGATGATTTCAGTGTCTTCGACACAGAAACCAATGAGCAGACAAATGAAAGAAGGTTCTGGTGATGTTGTGGTGTCTTAAACGCGCAAGCCTCGTTCGAGACGACAGTTGAATGTGGATGTAGGTGTTCATAATCTTGATCTGGGAGAGTGTAACGGAGTCACACAAAGTGGTGTGATCAAACAATGGTGTGGTCCACACAAGATTTTATGATCACACAGTGTTGTGGGTTACACAAGATATTGCGAGCAGATAACGTTGTGGCTACACTTAAATAAGAAATCAGTACGTGGCTGGAACAGCCAGTAATTATAAATTGAGTTAGGTTTTCCTATATAGCTAAGAAACCCTATAGATTTAGATATAGGTTGCTTTGCCGCAAATATACATAGTTTACATTTGAAACGGAAGAAGTAATCAGCCTTGGGTTAAGGTTGTAGTTACTCTTGGAGTAAGCCGATTGTGATCCGCTACACTCGTACGAGTACTAAGTATAGAACGAAGGTCACCGACCATAACCAAGCTTTATCTGAGCAAATGAGCAATGGCAGCCCCGCTGCACTTTGTGGCTTGTTTCGTGAAGATGAGCATGAAAGTAAGTTAGCCTACTATCAAGAGGTACAACTACGGCAAGCTTAGATATATTGGTATTGATGTGGTTGAGGACAGTAATTTCAAGAGCACAACCGTTGACATGCTACTAAAATTATTTCAGTCCTATGTTCCATAAGTATTCTCATTTATATATGAGCCACTGAAATCTGGTAGATCTCCCTCAAACCGACTGTGCTGGACACAATTATGAGCAGTTTAGGAAATGATTGTTGATCGCCATTCACTAATACCCAGATTATGCCAAGATTCATGAACACAGCATTCTTCTAGATTACAAAGAGATCACTTTCACGGGCATGGTGCACCTGCGAGGTGCATTCGTTCAAACGCTGGATAAAGTTCATCCTACCAACAAGTGGAGCGGGCCGATCGGCTAAAATTATATCGACGTATAAGCTTCGACTTTTTAATTAAAAGTGAGTGTATTACCCTTTTTGTCACCAGACAGAGTGCGATGTTTAAGTCAGCTCTACTTTTTATCTAACACGTACAGAATATCGTCGTACCGACATAGAACCAAATCACATTTCTTTATCAGGGATATAAGATACAGTCAATACACAAAAAGGGCAAATTACAAAACTGTGCGAAAAGTTGAGGTACATAGGCCGTAGCCAATCATTACATATGCTGTCTTTGTAGAATTTTTAATAAATGGAAAATTTCAAAATGAGATCCTGCCGAATATTTCCGCACAAAGTTACTAAAGCGAATGTGCATGTAGAGCTTTCATTTTGGTGACACCTGTCATTTCCGTGTAAACATGCACATGGTGGAGTATTCTCAGTCAACACATGTAGTCATTTTCTCGTCGATTGCCAAGAGTTTGATTGCACCCACGCCTTCTACCAGGTTCCCAACGCTCTCCATCGGCTTTGAGAGAATTGATGCACCCATTGCGAGAATTAGCCCCTTGCTAATTACGCATCAAGAAAACTGTGCATTGAAGCCATGTGCGTTGTTGACTTTCTACAAGTAAAGGCGACATTTCTAAGCGTATTCCAATCGCATCGATTTCCATAAATTGAGAACAATTTACTGCTTAAATCATATTTTCCTGAGATATTAAATTTGTACATCACTTCTTCAGTCTTAGGCTTCATGCAAAGTATGATGTACAGCTAACGCTATAAGCTAGAATGAACTAGGTGACAGAAAACTTTTCAATTTTTATGCGCGAATCTTACTTCACCCGTACGACACTTAGTGATACTCTTTAGAATCCCACTTGTTACCTCGTTTATCGGCTTCGATAGTATGACGAAGGCGACATTGGTGCCCTAGCAAACTTGGAACTACGCATGCATGAAAGCACATTATTTGCTGATGTCGATCGAGACGCCGAAATCGCTTCCAGCGAAGCAAAGCGCTCGACATGAGACAATGCAGACTCACTCACTCGGCGGAACAAGTTGGGCTGTTCTGATCGGGGACACGCCAGCGACGGCAGCACATGTGGAGATATCCGAGATTGTCGACTAGGCTCGTATGCTCTTGGTACATCGTCTCTGTAGTACGTCGTACTTGAGATTGCTCTTGGAGCTGTCAAGTAACTAGTATTCACTAATGTTCCGGCAGCTCGATATTCCGAGCTTGAGTACCCAAGTGTAGGCTGTTGCACTTGATACTGTAAATATGGTCCACGATGAACGCGCCGAGGCTGCTGCCTACAACGAATTATTGGAGCATCAACTGCTCGAAATTCGGAAGGTACCACGTAATCGTCCGAGCCAACTTCCGATCTCACAGAGCCTGGTGTTGTGTACGACGAAGCAGGGGACGAGGGCAATAACGTTCCTCGTAGATTCTGTATTGGTGGTAAAGTCGTCACCTTAGGTGCTCTCGACACGTCATAGTTTCTTCTCAAACTCAACAATGTGCTGGGTGGAACCTCAAAGGACTTGCTAGGAAGTTGGTGCTGAGCACTTAGCTCTTGACGCGCCAGCTTGTCAATCCTGGCGTCATCCTCTGACCCGCTGTCCCGTCGTCGCTTTCTCGAAAACTTTTTTGCGTCAAACTTACGCTGGTGACGATTCTGCTTGTTGCGGTGCATATCGCACAGGTTGTGAGGTTTTCCATTCCGCTTGACAGCTCGTTCATTTTCACATTTGCGGGACTGGTACAGACACTTACCTCGATATGGACCGGGACAGCGCGTCGATAAGTGAAGAGTAGGCTTTGCAATGATTGCGGGGTCTGTCTTTGCTGCGTCAAGTTCATCATGCTCATTCATCGCGTTTTTGTTTCTAACAAATGCCCTTCTGTCCGCAGAATTTAGAACGATGAAGCTGTCGCTCGTGTCTGAGACGTTAGCCTCGTCATCTTCTGTGGAAGAATGTGGCTCCATTGTCAAAGCAAATGATGAGAAGAAGGACTGAGCTCTGCAAACACGGCGCAATGTAAGTGGACGAGTGACTTCTAAGCTGATACGGGATGTTGAGCAGACGATGGCACGACAGCGCTGTACTGTACCTACCAGAGGTTCCAAAATTGTGTGATTTGAGCTCCTCTCAGGTTTGATTCGGCTATAATCGTCATTTGCTAATTACTGAGATGACTTTATGATCTACTGTAATATGAATAATTAGTATATTTATATATACTGTTCAGCACCAGAGATGTGAAAGGTTGATTTTCTTATGTAAAGTAAGCGATCAAGACTCATCACAGAAGAGCTCTTGATTCAGATCAGTATATCTCCGGCTATATAAACGGCCATATTTTTGCAAAGACGTCACCACCGCGAATGCAAGCATTGTGGTAGTAAAAAGAAGACTTGAGAGATAGGCGATAGTAAGATTGTTTATCGGATAAATAAGTAATAATTAGATAATAATGCTTTTTGCTACTGAGGCTAGCCCTGATTGGCGATAGCATACTTAAACTGTGAGATTGCATCGTGAAAATGCTATCTTCAAAGCAGAAATTTGCTTGGTGATGCGTCAGGAGTTAGGCATTCCTCGATCACGACAAGACACCACATGGATAATGCATGCATCATCATAATCAACAAGATGAAGAGGAAAATCTCAGATGCTGTGCACACAAAAACAATCTGATTGGAAATAGAAAGAGCAAGGCTTAGATATCGCCTGGCTGTGAACCAACATCCGCGAAGCATAATACTAGCGGATCAGAAGTTTTTATCATATGGACTGGAATTTTAAGAATGTATCGCTTTTTTGGACTAGAAAACGATAATCTTCAAAGAATTTCAAGCCAAAGTGGAGTATATATTGGAAACTGATGCTGTGTAAAAGTTACATGCTGCACACTGACACTTCGCAACCTGATTTTGAAATGATTCTCTGTTTGTCCCAGCTCCTTTATTTTTCTTTTCGCTCTTAGAGAAAGTAGGATAGAAAGGTTTACATAGACTCACATCTAATTAGGGTTCAGAGACTTCATAAATACGGGTTACGAAACTTTAGGCGATACTTTTTGCATCTCAGTTTTGAGAAATTCGCTTATTACTTTAATTATTAAGATTATAACAAACATGATATTATATAAATCCTTTCGGCTTTGTATGTGTACGTGGGACGATATTAGGCAGTAAGATATATGGCCAATTTTTTTGACAAGTGCATCGTACTCAACTTCTCAATATTTCGTCAGCCAAGTTCTGTATTGACTTAGGCTCGTTCTCACTTATCGTTCCCAAGCTATAGGAAGTCTTACAGCAAAATTAAGAAAAGTTATTTTTTCATTTCTTCTCGAAGCAGTTTTATGCACTTGAATTGACGCAGACTCCATTTAAATGAACAGCAAATATCACTGTGCTTCGCAATGGATACCGTGCGAGTGTCGGGCGATAACCCCGAGTTGGTAAATGGGCGAACGTTGGTCATAATGGATCAATGCGTGAGGCCTCATGATCTACTGCAAAGGAAAAGCATGGCACCTTTTTAAAAGGCTTTTAAATCCACTTTTGGTATTGCATAGGGAAAAAGTTGTAAAGGCCGTTCCTGATACGCAAAACCAGGATCTCGCGAAGTATTAATTTATTATGTAAAAGAGTGCATAAATTATAAATAAGGGTTATGGGTGGTCGCCCCATCTTTTTACACGTTTTATAACGGGGTTGCACGTATCCTTGTATGAAAGCACCATCTTGTGCGACCGTACATAGGTGTGGATAACACAAGTTATTGTAATCACACAGTGGTGTTGGCTACACCGTAACAAGAGCAGGATTGCCACTAGTAATGCATATTATTATATTAATCGGGTTTTATTATATTAATCAGGTATAACATATTTATTAGGAAAGATATTGGCGGCTCTGCCGCAACTAAAGCAATTGAATACAATTTCAATTTTGAGCAAAATATACCCTTACCTTGGTTAAGGTTTACAGTACTCTTGGAGGCAGCGGCTGCACACGTACTGGTTCTTGGAAAGAACGTGAGGTCGGTGACCTTAGCTTAGCTTCCTTTAAGCAAGGAGCTACGGCTGGCCTGCTGCACTTGGTAGCATTCGTAGGCAATCTACGCCTGAGTCATTACGACTGATCTTCTGTGAGGATGAAGCAGTTCTCCTATTTGCCCCAGGGCATGCAGGATGGGCTTAATAAGTTGATGTCCCTGCTGGGCCCTGAGGACTAGAGCACCTTATTGCGCAAGGGCCCGCGGCCAAAAGCGCGCGCCTAGAGGCGGTTTCAAATTATGAAATTGCTCTCGTTGAGCACTTACAGCAGAAGCTGTCAGCGTCGACAGCGTCTATGACGCCACCGTCGACGACCGATGATACATTCCGACCCAGGCCGTTCGTGGTGAGAGTTAAGACCTTCGAGGGTAAGGATGGAGAAAATCTCCTGCTCTGGGTAAGAGAGGCCGAGATGGGCATGGCGTCCGTCATGCTCCAAAACAAGCAACACCGCGTGGCGCTTGCTATCTCCAAGCTCGGGGGCCGAGCGCGAGAATGGGCACAAACGTGCGGTGCTTCGAGTGAGACTGCGTTCCCCTCCCGGAAGGAAACGAAGCGTCAGCTTTGCGAGTGTTTTCACCGCATAATCAGGTATATCGCTTGCGATCGCGTTTCCTAGCGGCTCGACAGGGCAAGAAGGAATTGGTGGACTTTGTCCAAAGGTTGTGAGCTCTCATTGCCGGGATGGCAACAGTTCCTCTCCCCGAGCGGTCGCAGCGACCGTCTGTATGGAGGACCTTCGTAATGGCGCGGCCAGAATGGAAGTCTTCCATGTGCATCCGTCGTCGTTGAAGAAGCGGTAAACGTGACATAAAAATGCCGAATTCAACTTCAAGTCGGCACGCTTTGGTTGGAATGCGCACTCTCAGAGCTTGTCGAGCGGGCCTGAGCCAATGGATCTCAGCTATGCTGAGAAAGAGGAGGTAGAGCTCCGAGCTGCTGAGCAGCGTGTAAATACCCGACAGTGTTTAGTCTATGGAGACACCCGTCACCTTTGGACGGGTTGTTCCCTGCACAAGGCGCATAAAGGTCCGTCGAACCGACGTCTCGCTTCTAATCAGTCTGGTTTAACGCGGGGAAACGACAACACCCAGTAGGTGCGGGGCGCCCTACCGGGGAAGAATTGAGTTATGTTGAGTCTCAAAGAGGTAGAGGGCAGCACGGCCCAGTCCTGAAGAGCTGCGTACCCTTGAACACGGAACGTGTGATCAAGCCGGGCTTCCATGTCATGAAAGCGACCGTGAAGGATATTGATAAGCGATGGAAATCTTTATCGATTACGGTGCGTCGGGCAGTTATGCTAGACGGTGCACGATCGAAGGAAGTCAGCTGCATGCTGAGGTGCTGGAAGCGCGGTTGAGTGACACCGTCACTGTTCGCTTAGCGACGGGGAGTTTGGTCACTGTGCCGAGGGTCTTTGTGAGCCGCGGTGTCAAGTTCCTTGACTTTGATAGCGTGGAACGCTGTCTGTCCTAGATTCGGATGCAAGGTATGACCTTATCCTCAGTATAGCATGGTTGGAACACCATGAGCCTTGGATTGATTGGAGGTCAAAGAACTTGTGCGCTACGCGCAAGTCTCCCGATGCAGTTTTGGTGATTCATGAACACACCTCTGCTAGGAAGCAGAAGCGCTATTGGAGTGGGCACTGGACCAAGACGGTCAATGTGTTAGATATCGGAGTATCTGAGTTGCCAAATACCGAAAATGCGATGGGCAAGAGTCCCGGGCGTGGCTCGCGGGCTGAACGTGGAGTGACACGTAACCCACTGAGCGCTGCTCAAATATTGGAGCAGTTGCTGCATGCCAAGAGTGGCATGGTTGTCCAAGGTCCGTGGTATCAAGGGCGAGGCTCTTGTGATGCACGTGGTGTGGCACGTAACCCACTGAGCACTACTCGCGTCAAAAGCAGTTACTGCGTGCAAAGAATGGCATGGTCGGACGAGATCCGAGGTATCAAGGGCGAGACTCTTATGATGCACGTGGAGTAGCACGTAACCCACTGAAATTGCTCACGTTACGAAGCAGTTGCTGCGTACCAAGAATGGCATGGTCGGACGAGGTCCGAGGTTTCAAGGGCGAGGCCCTTGTGATGCACGTGGAGTGGCACGCAACCCACTGAAACTGCCCACGTTACGAAGCAGTTGCTGCGTGCCAAGAATGGCATGGTCGGACGAGGTCCGAGGCATCAAGGGCAAAACCCCATGTGATGCGCGTGGAGTAGCACGTAATCCACTGTGGAGACAGAGCCCTTCGTCAAATGTTGTTAATAAAATCAAGGCTCCGATGCAGCAGGAAATGGAGACATTGGACGACGTCGAGTGCGCATTCTTACTGGTCTGGATGAGACGTAAAACCTTTATAGGGAGGAGACGGCGAAGCCGTATGTTATCTGCAAGACGAAGATCCTGACCCAGGGTGTGTCTACCGTAGACGATAGCGCACTGCTATATACCCTTGTCAACGGTATGACGGAAGAGGAAGACGGCGACGTCACCCTCAAGGATATTCCCGCGGTGGGTGCTCTTCTTGAGCTTGACTAAATTTCTTTCGAGAAGTTTGGCGGTGCCTTGACGGCAGGCAATTTAGCCGAGGTGGCCATATTATGACGAAACGAGGAGATTAACTCGTCGTCGCTTTTGAATTAAGCTGTCCTGGAGGACACCAAGAGGATGCTGCACGCACGAAGTGGATCGTTGAACCGGAAGGATCCTTTGGATCTGTACTATCCTTTGGCGAAGGAATTTCAAGTCCTCGTTTCCAAAGACCCGCCGTCGGTCCTACCTCCAGATCGAGGTGTGCGTC